ATTTACTGGAAAAAAATATTTTTTATATAAAATGACGAAATGTTCTTCATTTGAAGAAAAGAAAAACATATTTTGATCATTACGTGTATAACATGACAAAAAATGTTAATATTTTTGCTCCAACGATATAACATCGTTCCATTCATGCAAGACTATTTCTACAAATAAGCCATTTAACTATTTAAAGTACGCATGATGGCGATTGGCGGGACGCGTGACCGCACGGGTTCGCACAAATCGTTGAAATCATATGGGCCTATGAGTTACACGACGGAACGTGCGCTAATTTTTCTCACAGAAACTTCCATTCAAATCACTTGTATTTCCACAAAATGAGCAAATATTGGTGAATTACTACTCCAGGCAATAAACAAAGCATACCTGTATGGGTACGCAAATGTGCTTGAAGGCTCTTCTCGCGTGGAAAGACACGGCTGCAGTAGGTGCATTTTATGCTGCTCGGTGAAGTACTTCCTTGCATCATAAGATTCGAGAGAGCATCGGCTCTTGGACGACCGCGACGGTGACTCTCTGAACCTCCAGAACGTGATCGAGGTCCGGTTCGCGTGGCCACCACGCTATGTTCTCTGTATTCCGGCGAAGAACACGAGCTACCCGGGCTAAGATTTACATTTCTTGTCTCCTCGCCCCAGTTCCACGGATAGAGCATACTGTCGCACATCGGTGGGCTGCACGGCAACGCTTCCGTCAAGGGACGCGTCTCACGCTTTGGCGTGTGCAATTCCATTTTACGTTTTTCACTTCACTCTGCACCTCGCCGGCCACCTTAAAAGTCAGTGCTAACACGACCACCTACAACTCTCTCTATCAGCCTCCGTGTGCCGCGTGCAACTAGTGAACCGCCAAAACGAGTGTACCCGGTACAACGAATGTATGTATGTCGTATGTGTGTGACTGCGTATAGCGTGTGTGCACGATATTCGTGAAAAATTAATTAAAGTTTGTAAACGTAAAAGTAATTGATTAGAAAAGGAAACTTTGTATACCGCGCAATACGAGAATCGCGATTTCGCTTTCCCCGGCTTCTCTTATTGTTGGCATCGTCTTACCGACTGTTTCTACACGCGGCTTCGTTCTCGTGCGCGCGCATCTTTTCTTTGCTTGCGGCGCGGCCAATCAGGACTATAGAGAAAAAGAAACGCGTAATACAAAGTTAGTCTATTAATAGTTATTCGTATAATGCATTTACGAATTATGCGAAAATTGTTTAATTTCCTTTTGTAAGTATTGTTAAGTAAAGTACTTATGTTTTAAGTATTATGAAAAATAAATTTTTGTTGCTTCCATTTGCCAACTTTGTAACACATACTCCATAAAATATTGTATATTTTTTTAATAAGTGAAACGAAACTGATACTATTTTTTGAATAATGATTGGAATTTAAAATAGTATTGAAATGGGAATATTTGTGTATTTAAAGTGTGTTATTGTAAAGTAAAAGTTGCATGTTATCTGTAAAATTCAAGCATGTATGTTATATCTATGTATACCAAACATTGTTGTAAATAATATACACATATGTTTATACATTTATCTTTTATCTGCAAAATTATTGTATGTCAACCTTATATTTTGAGAGTTAATAAACTTCAGTTTCAAAAGTTCTGTCTTTAACCTTTATCCTTTCATAGAAATGCGGCGTGATGGTTTCATAAAAGGTCTACTTCACAACAGCGAGAATATAAAATGCAAATTAAAAAAGAATACATGTTAACAAAAGCGTATGCTTGATAACTTGTTGTATTTTTTAACTGAAAGGGGGCGATAAATTTTATTTGTATGTTTGATACATGTCTATGTTGTTAATACTACATACTTTTATTAAATAATGCATGAAAATTTAAATAAACGCAATCTTTATATTTTCTGTTTAAAACAGCAGTGGTATCTAAATTAAAGTTGAAATTTAATTACCATTTAAATGATATTTGTATTTTATTTTTTTTAACAAAGAAAAGATAAAGTATAAGAAATAATAACTTCACTTTTTAAGATAATCATTTATGGTAGGTGTTTTAATTATATATTTTTAACTTATTAGAAAATCGAAACAATAGGTTTTTAAATGAAAATCAAGTATTTTTAATTTTGCGTCATAAAATAAGTACGTATGTTTAACACTTGTTTTGTATGATGAAGAAATATACGAGGAACCCAGATAATATATAATTTTCAATAAAACTGTATAGAAAGTGTAATAATTGAAAAAAGATAGTTTAGCAGGAAAAGTTTTTACGAAGCATTTGAAATCCATCTTTGCGTAATATGAGGACATATGAAAGTTTCAATTACTTAGTAAATCGAAACTATTGCAAATCGAACATCGCACCGGTGAATTTTCTTTGCATTTAAATACCATGAAATATGATATACGACCGAAATAGCATACGATCGGTATATAAATATTATTGTACGGCAATAAGATAAAGCATAAAAGATAAGAAAATCTATTCAGTCGGCGTTAAGTAATTCATGGAAATAATGCCGGTTTCTTTGAGAACGACAGTCACAAAAGTTTGGCCCTTTATTGCTGAATTGTTGTTATTTTAAAAATACGATGCCATTAAAATTAAAAATTCGATTTTAGAAGCAGTTTTGTGGCTTGAAACTATATAAAATTAACGATATAAATAATATTGGTGGGGAGGTGGCGCGCTGGGTGCAAGACAATTATGCGGTCCCTCCCTGAGCACAGACCTCGTGGTGAACTATCTCCGACTCAGCCATATTGAAATATTGAATGTCTCTGTTACACAAGGGCTCAAGAGTAGCCGTGAAATTTTCGCGTGATCCTCGACGAAGAGAGGATAAGAGACATCATGGAAAGTATGTACAGTATCACCGTCACCAACAAATTCTCGTTAGCGTTGGGTGATGACGAAGATCCACACGAGAAGCTCCGAGAAGAGGAACTAAAGAAGGAAGCTAGGAAAAAGGAGAAGCTTTCGGAGAAGGAGAATAAGAGTAAGCAGCCGGATGCGCAAAAGGGAACCGGTAATAAAACGCAAAAAAACCGCGTGATCAAAGATGCCCAGCAACAAGCATCTAAAGTGCAAGACTCAAAGAAAGATCAAGGTTAGTAATTTTTCATTACGTTCTTGCCTCGTGCGCGGTATTATGGCCGTCGCACTGCTCCTCGTGGGTCCATGTGCTTTTGATATTTTGCCGCACGTTCAGCAAGATTTCCCTTCAATCAACAATCATTTTGTTGGATTTATATATTCAATTGATGTTATTCCTTAAATACTAACTGTTTGTGAAGAAATTATTGTTCTAATATTCATATTTCTTGTAACATTTCGATAAATTTTTGTGCCGCATAGTAAGGAGTTCATCGTATCGTAAAAATAGAATTTGCTGATGGTGACCCCACGTGTCATTTAACAAATAACTATAACAGAATTGTATGATTTATTGCAAAAATTTTATATAATCATAAAATAGATTATGTTAATGTCACTTATGAATAGTTTATTAAGTTATGATAGATTACTACATTGTAATGTTTAATGGTTACTTTCGAGGTTCCAATATTATTTTTGCTGCAAATAATCGATATATTGTATTAAAATTATCATCAGTACATATATGTACATGCTTTGATACTTAAAGTATATATCATAAAGTAAAATTAGTAAAATTGAAGTTATCTTTACAATGTAAAAATTTTTTTTATAGGTCATTCTTTTTTCTGTTCGTAAATACTTTTTTTGTTTGCAGTGTAATATGCATTCTCATTACACATATTATATTAGGAAAT